TGATGCCAAATCAAAGTTATGTTCTTCCTATTAATAATTATTAACGTATTGATTGTCATAAAGAAAACCATGGATGCATAATGAAAAGTGAATGGGCTTGGCTATCATTTCGACAATGAATTTCAATTTCAAGGAAATCACTAGACGAAAGAAAAAGAACAGGCTCCCTAACCACGTACATCAGAAAGGTGTTCTTCATTATATTAAAATATAAAAAATGAACCCAGTTCAAAATTGAGCTTGAAAGTTTACAGGTAGGTATAATAAATATGGACTTTTAGATCTTAACTTAAGACAATTTTTGTTGCGGAGAAAGACCGGCAGAGCATGTTTGGTCCCACCAATTAATCGATCTTGACCGAGGAGTAGATGAGCCTGGTGAACCAAAAACATGCATAAAATCCTATGGTACCTGTAAGCACAAAAAATGCATATGAAGCAATGAGCATGTATCCGAAGTACAGCATCCCGGAAACCAGTTTAGTGATCTCAAGCTTTGTGAAGAAGTAGAATGTGGCATAGAGGAAGAGGTATAATGCCGAGGAGCCTGATGTGAGGTATGACCTCCACCACCACAGGTAGTCCTCACTGCACAACTGGAAGTAGCAGAGCACGATGGTTATTTCAGCACAGGTGATTAGGAGGATAATGAACACCAAGAAGAGGAAACCGAAGATGTAGTAGAACTGATTCAGCCAGATTGAGGTCAGAATGAAGAAGAGTTCAATGAACACAGCTCCAAATGGAAGAATTCCTCCTATCAGAATTGAGAAAATTGGGTTCATATACCATGCCTGTTCAGGGATTTGCCTTGGAATCTTATTTGTCTTCACAGGATCCTCAATTGCTGGCTTCCTGAACCCAACATAGCTGCCAACAAACACCAGTGGTACAGAAATTCCAAACCATAAGACAACCAGAGCAAACATTGTCCCAAATGGTACAGCCCCAGATGACTTCTGGCCCCAGATGAGAGCATTCAAGACAAAGAAGATGGCAAAGACAATGGCTGGGAACATACATGCAGTCCTGAGAGCAATTTTCTTCCATTCAGTTCCCTTGAACATTTTGTACAGACGTGCAGAGGCATAGCCAGCAAAAAGGCCCATAAAAACCCAAAGTAACAGCATAGCTGTCATCAGACCACCTCGGTTTGAAGGGGAAAGGAATCCAAGGATTGCAAAGATCATAGTAACAAGTACCATCCCAAAAAATTGAACACCAGTTCCAACATAAATGCAAAGTAGATCAGAATTTGAGGGAGGCCTGAAAACATCACCATGGACAAGCTTCCACCCTGTCTCTTCTTGGGCTTCTTCCTGGGTTTCAAGTTCATTATACTTGGAAATATCACGGTAAAGTGTCCGCAGCATAATCATTGCCACCATGCCAGAAAGGAAAAGAACGATCATTAAAGAATTAACAATTGAGAACCAGTGTATTTGGTCATCACTCATTAAAAGATATGCATCCCATCTCGAGGCCCACTTCACATCACTCTCCTGAAAGAGGGAAAATCAGGTAAAACGCAATGAGTATAAGAGCACCTCAGCCATGATAAAGCATGTTACCTCTATTATTTTATGTGATTCTGTGAAAGTACTTGAAATTTGAAAAAATAAAAAAATAAAAATCTAATATTCATGTCATATAAGCTTTTAAAACTACATATTCTTGACACCCTAGAGTCTAACAGTTAATATAACAACTGTGACCTGTCAAATCTAAAATTTGTTTATTGCAGAAGAGCTCACCTGGAAATCAACATCATATGTGAATATAATTTCCTTCTTCTCTTGAACTTCTTGGGGAGAGTTTGAATTCAAAACTGTTTGCTTAGCATGGGGGTCACATGTCGTTAAACGGGTTTTCTCATTCCACTTGCCATCATATTCATGTTTAATACTGCATGTTTTAAAATATGGAATGAATGCCATCAAGACTAGAGATGTTGAGAGTCAACACATGCTAAGAAGCAAAAATGTTGTGAAAAAGAAGGGAATCAGAGGAACCGACCTGAATGGTTTAACCTCAAATCCCACAATCCTTGCAGAATCAGTTTGTGAATCTCTGTGATACTTGACAGTAAATGCCAAATGGTTGTGGATGAAATACTTTTCCTCAGTCTACACGTAACGAGACAAAGTATAAGCAGTAATTAACACATCTAAATAAGATGCAGCTTTTCTGGCAAAAAGATAGCATGTTTACCCCACTATATTGGACTTTGAGCCCAACATGATAGCCAAGCTGGTAAATGATAGGATATTCTTGATCTAACCTTTTTATGGGAACGACCAGGGGCAGGTTATCAAGGATCCTGTCACATGTATCACAAAATAAGTAGGAAATAAGACTTGAAACCTATCTCCAAAAAAAGTTGGCAGATGAATCGTGCTCTGAATAAACAAATGGCGTACATGTTGACTCGATACTCATCACTGATCTTTTCTTTGAACTGCTTTGTGGCTTTGGCATCAAGTGTAATCCGGCAAAAAACATTGCAAATTTGTGGTTCACGCATTTTAAACTGAAATAATCAAATCATAGAAAATTAAAAAGGTAAACATTCATAATTAAACAAATCCATATTCATAGTTGAAAACTGTAGTCTGCAACTGACCAAAAAAGGAGAGTTCTCAATACGGTCACCACGAAGTACTTCCCCAAGATTCTCTGCACTGTCCACTATTTTGTCTGGGGGACAATAAGGAAGAGAGTAATATGAGTAAGGAAGCTGCGTTTTTGTAGAGGTCAATTTATTCACCTTCACTCTCAATGGATCTCCCTACATTGCAAAATAAATAAATGAATAAAACCACAAGAATTTTTCAAAGAATGCTTATACATGTTTGAGTACATTGAGAGAAATCAATGTGCCTTTAACAAAGCCTTTATGTAATTGAAACTAGAATTAAAAATGAAATGACTTGCTCATTATCATAAGTTAGAACTTAGAAGAGTGCCTTTACTAGCTTTATGCAAATAATAATAATACTTTTGTTTTGTTTGCAAAAACAGGAAAGTGAACAAAGGACTGATGGATGGTGGAGCTGTAAGGTAAATAAACATCCCAATAAAACGGCCATTCAGTGCATCATTCACTATCATATGTACTTTCTAAAATTACCACCATGTTTTGCAGCTTGTTTTTGTAACCATTTTTTATCAGCTATATCTATCAAAGACAAAGATTAAAAGGGTCAACCAGTGCAATACAAGCTTGCAGTGATTAAAAGATTATGGTCAATTCCTAACTGAATGCAAAAAGAATTTAAGCTAAGATTTTGGCTAAACAATTCATCTTTACAATCAGGCCTGTTATTCACCTCTTCAAGTAATGGACTGGAAAGAATGACTATTAAATTGTAGCAGCAACTGCCTTAAAGATAGTCTTATTTGCATCATTTTAGCATTTGAAAACGCAACTCAGGCTTACATTTAAAACAATACATGCCCATGTTTGATCCGTAAAGCCTAGCCAGCCCTCAAATCCACGGGCTAATAACAAGTATAGGCATCGTTTTCTATATAGCATTGCAAGATCTCGATATAAATGACAAAAACTAAACTTTCTAAATCACCTCCATTCCTTTCCATGCTAATTTGTCTTTCTCTTTGATGCATTCCCACACACCTATCTATAATGTATCATTACTCTGAGTTAATGAATGCAATCCTACAAACTAAAACGCAACCACCTCATTTCCTCAACGAGATCCTCCCACATTCCACCAAAACACACAAAACAAACACAGACACAGGTCAAATTGAAAAATAAAATAAAATAAAAACCAGCTCTCAAACAAAAGAGATCCACCAACGCAAAGCAGATCAAGTTACTCATTGGAAAGACTAGTATGAATCCAAAAGAGAATGAGCGGAGAGTTAAACAAAAATAAAATGGGGACCTTATGGAAGTCCTCAGGCGCGACGCCAGGAAGATAGA